CCACGATATTAAAGACATGCATCAAATAGCCGACTCTAAGGTTTTTATCATATACTAAATAATAATTTACATTATTAACTATCTTGGCAATTCAGTGCAATCCACCATCATGGTTCATATCAGCATTGATGCAATTAACATTGATATCTACTCCGTTTGTACTGATATACCACCGAAATCGGCGCATAGGTTTACTGACCGTTATTATGGCAATAGGTGCCGGTGTTATTGCATCTATAGGGCCATATCTGCTGTATAACATCCGGCCATACCTACAGATATGGGATTTGGATACTGTAGTATACAGTTTATCACGCTCATACAACTGGTACCATTTTATGCCAAACAATTACATTACCTCCTACTTTGTTGGCATAGCCTTTGGGTATTTGATGCATCGGAAATCCCTGATCATACACCAATATATTACATTTATGTGTTGGTTACTGGCATTGGTGTCGATACCCTTGGTATATTTCTGGCATAATTCATTTTTCCGGCTCGATCATTCTGCCCCGTTAATGAGCGCGCTCCTATGGCATACCATGGGTAAATTGATTTTTAGTCTGGGGTTTGGCTGGATCTATTTTGCGTGCTGTACTGGGCGGGCAGGTAAAGTTTATATTCTAGAATTGCTATAATTATTAAATTACCATGTATAATTATTTTTGCATGTTATATATTGTAACTATAGAGATGTTAAATACAGTACTGTCCAGCCGTGTCATACAACCAATAGCCCGGCTGTCATTTGGTATTTATATACTGCACTATTTGGTTGTTATGCATCGGATTTTCTCCATTCATTACACATACGTTATGTCCGATAAATATATGGTAAAAATATAAATTAAATTATTTATAAAATAAATGTTCAACATTTGAATACTTATACCAATTGTTAAAATATTATAGTTTAAATTGAGTAACTCTTTTGATTTATTGTAAAAGTTACAGTTTTATTTACAATCATAGTTTGCAATTATTTAATATGAATATTATAATTAAATGCTACTTTTATGTAAATTACAGTGTTTAAATGATACTTAATATTGTATTATAATATTAATTATTATTGTATTAAAGATAAAATTTGTATTTTTTCTATAGTTTGAACATTTGGCCATTGATTTGATTTACGTTATAATATTGTCGTATATCTATCATATACTCATCGAGAGTCCATTGGCTAATATTATAACATTGATATTCAAACCAACCGCTCAAACAATTATACCCGTGATTAAAAAGTCTGCATCAGATTAATAATCATATATTTTAATAACGTTAGACAATGATTTAAATATTTGTAGTAATATTCAATCAGATAAAATTAAAATATTAACACTATCTAAATTTTATAACTAATATAATTTCTAATTAGCAACAATTAATCTGTATAATCAATAGATATTATTTTAAAAAAAAACTATTTTAAGATGCGGATTAACCAAAACATATTTTATTAAATTAAACTTAAATTATTGTATATATGACAACTATTTAAATACAGTTTGTTTTATTATATCAAAAGGTCAATAGACACTCAATAATAATAGTTTTTGATTAAAATGGTACCCTCATATATTTCATAATATTAATAATAAAATTAAATGATTAATAATAATTTAATTGCAAATATATTTATTATGTATTATGATGTCAACTGTATAATAAGTTCATGTCTGGAGGACATAAATAAATTAATAATTTATAATACACTATCTCAAATAATTCACAAAAACAAAGTAAACTAGTGTTAAATCTATGGGTCTACTGAATTAATGCAGTTAAAAAACTATAGTTTGTTGTCTTATACATACACATAGCCCAATGATAGTGTGTAATAAATAATTAGTTACATTTAAACATTTGAAAAGGCCAAATGATTGTTCTTGTATGTTAGACAATCGTATCTCATCAAGCTTAAATGACACTAATAACCACAAGCCTGTCGGTGCAATTAATCACCATCTCAATACTGACACTACAACGACAATTGTCGCACAATAATAACGCCAACCGTAGCCAATGGGCCGGCAGTTACGACTACATAGTGGTGGGCTCGGGCTCGGCCGGGGCTGTCATAGCCTCGCGACTCACTGAAAACCCGGGCGTAACTGTACTACTACTAGAGGCTGGTGGGCCCCAGAATACCGTATCGGATATGCCCGGACTGACCCCAGCCCTAGTGGGCACCGAGGTGGATTGGCAATATACTACGGTGCCACAGACCCGTATAGGCCAGGCCTATACTGGTCGACGTATTAGTCAGCCTA